ATCAGGTTCTGGAGTGTGTCTGTGCACACCTGCGTTCACAGTAGGAACCAAAGGGTGGAAGCAGCAGGAGGTAGGTAAAGAAAATGTGGAACAGACATGGGATGCTACTCAGCCTTAAAAAGGGAGGAAATGCTGGCCCATGCCATGTGGACAATGCCATAGGCTATTATCCTAAGTAAAATAAGATAGTCACAAAAAATAAATAAATACTGTACATTTCCGCTCATAAATGCTCTTGAATAGTCAAATTTCTAGATACGCCATGTAGAATGGGAGCTGCCAAGAACTAGGGCAAGGAAAATAAGGAGTTATTTAATTGGTGTGGAGTCTTGGGTTTTATGGGACATGAAGCTTACATGAAGTTCTAGGCTCTGTGTGCATCAATGTGAGTGTGCACTGGCTGTTCAGGGGTGTGCAGCAGTGTGAGTGAGCACTGGCTGTTCAGGGGTGTGCAGCAGTGAGTGTGCACTGGCTGTTCAAGGGTGTGCAGCAGTGTGAGTATGCAACTGGCTATTCAAGGGTGTGCAGCAGTGAGTGAGCACTGGCTGTTCAAGGGTGTGCAGCAGTATGAGTGTGCACTGGCTGTTCAAGGGTGTGCAGCAGTGTGGGTGTGCACTGGCTGTTCAGGGGTGTGCAGCAGTGTGGGTGTGCACTGGCTGTTCAGGGGTGTGCAGCAGTGTGGGTGTGCACTGGCTGTTCAAGGGTGTGCAGCAGTGTGTGTGTGCATTGGCTGTTCAGGGGTGTGCAGCAGTGTGGGTATGCATTGGCTGTTCAGGGGTGTGCAGCAGTGAGTGTGCACTGGCTATTCAAGGGTGTGTGTGGGAGGCACAAAGGTTCCTGTGCTCACAGATAAGCACTAGGGAAACCAGGAATGTTAACACATAGGGTTGTTCCTTCAAAGGGAGGGTGCACAACCCGTTATCTACCAAGAAAGCAGGAAGCAGACATGGTTAAGAGCCTGGTGATCTTTGCACTATCTGTATGGGGGAGACCACACTGGAGCTTCCCCAGATCCTGATTGTGAGCTTGTCAATCTACAGAACTCGTTTGTATGGAAGGTGTCACATGTTCTTTACAGAGTTTCAATGTAGCCATGTATTAAGCTGTAGTGTGCAGATGGACTGAGTTAATTATTACCAGGAAATTCTTCACCAACTTGCACTGTGCTTAAATATGCCTCAAATACACTACTTGAAAGTTGTCTGAACCAACACCAGCTATTAAGTCGTGTTGAACAGAACTACCTGTTGCTTCCCACTCTGCTGGCCTTGGTGGCCTCAGAGACCCCTGCAGGGGTACAGCAATGTGAATGTGTACTGGCTGTTTGAGGGCACAGTCAATAAGGGTGATCCCTGTAGCTAGCAAGTTTAAAGTCAAGCTGGACAAACCAGAAAAAAACCTTTAGTCTCAAGAAAATAAAACAAAACACAAAACCCCAAAAGTGTTGTTGTTTGATGGGGCTGGGAATGAGCTCAGTGGCAGTGCCTGCGTAGCATGGTTCAATTGTAAGAAATACAACAATAATGATAGCAATAAAGTATCCTGAGCTACCCAAAGCTGAATTGGGTGATTTTTCTAACAAGGACCAGAGGTTCACTGGAGTGAGCAAAGAAGATGGGATGTTTAGATTTGTCCATTTGACACAACCGAAAGTCACCCAGGAACAAAATCTGACTGTCTCACATTGGCTTGGCTGTGGCTCTGTCAGGGACTGTCTTAATTTAGTTCATCAATATGAGAATGCCTAGGGCTGGAGAGATGGCTGAGAGGTTAAGAGCACTGACTGTTCTTCCAGAGGTCCTGAGTTCAATTTCCAGCAACCACATGGTGGCTCACAACCATCCATTATGAGATCTGGTGCCCTCTTCTGGTGTGCAGATATACATGGAAGCAGAATGTTTTATACATAATAAATAAATAAAATATTAAAAACAAATATGAGAACGCCTAACCCACAGTGGGTAGCACCATTCCCTAGGCAAAGGGTTCTGAACTGTATGACACTGGAGAAATGGAGCTAAGCACATTTAATAAGCAAGAGAGCATGGATGCATTCATTTCTTTCTCTCTCCTGACCTGATGTGATGTGACTAGCCATGGGGAGTCCAGACTTGACTTTTCCACTATGTTGAACTATAACCTGAAAGAATAAACTGAAATAAACCCCTTTCTCCCTCAAGCTGTTTTTTTTGTTTTGTTCTTTGTTTTTGTCTTTGGTTTTTGTTTTTGTTTTTTTTCTTTTGGGTTAGGGTATTTCATCTTGGTAACAGAAATGAAACTAGAAGAGAAGGCCAGATAACTTACCAGAACAACATCAGATGAAAGAAGAACATTCAAATGTACACCAATAAAAACAAAAGCAGTTACCACCGGTAGTCCCATGTAAACACAGACAGTCACTCTGGACTAAGACCACAAAGCTGTATTCACCACTTAAAGCATCTTCCATAACTCATCTGATCAAAATGCTCCCACTTCCCTGCGATTTAACAAGTTCTAAGAACTCAACCTGAGCCCAGAATCCACTAGCCTAACTCACAAAGAGTGAAATGGGCTTGCTATATATGTGTATGCAATATATTATATTATTAACGTGCTTCAAACAAAGCTATGTTTTGTCTCTCTCAAGCCTCAAACTCACCTCATGTTGATATGGAAGGAATTATTCTTGTTGACTTCAAAGCCTCCCGACCAAATGCAATTGGGAACGTCCATCAGCCTGACACATAGGAGCTGATCGTAGTCATTGCGAGGCCAGTGGAACACCACACTGGAGCCAGGCAGGGTGGAAATGTAGCCACTGGGGTTGGCTGTCCCCTAAAATGTACAAATCACAGGCTTCAGTCACATTACTCAATACCCCTCCAAGTCACATACAATTCTTGCTGAGTCCCTACTCTGAGCTCTTGGGTCACTCATGTCACAAAACGCTCAGTCTCGATGAGAAGCCAGCCTTAACATTAAACCCCCCATTATTTAACAAGCCATTCTGCAAAGCAAACTGCTTACCTGTCCCCGGGCAAATTCCCTTTGTGCAAATGCAAGCTTGTGAGATGATTTATTATCTAACAGGTAACGGGGGGCAAAGATGACCATACAAGTGTCAATATAGCGACCTCGGCCTTTCTTGACATCAATACCTGCAAATGACAAGAACCATTTCATTGATTAATCGTGATAGAAAATTCTAGGTCTGACAGAAGTAAAGTAGAATTCATAGTTCCTTAGTCACTGTGAGCAAACACACATGTCACCTGACGACCGTACAAAGCCCTTCAAAGAAGGGAATTATTCCATTTAGGCTTTAGAAAGTCCTGGGGGTGGGTGGTAAGATGGCTCAATGGGTAAAGGCACTTGCCACCAAGTCTGACAACCTGATTTTGATCACGGGAACCCACATTCCTCACCCCTACAAGTTGTCCTCTGACCTCTACACATAGACCATATCATACACACATGTAAACACAAAATACATAAGTAAATGTTGAAAAAGTCTCAGGGTCAGTGCCAATGTCCCTTTGGTTCCTAGTCTCTTTGACCTGTATACACCAATATAGGAACAGTGAAGACACAACAGGTGTTTTGGTCACATGTAGCTTAGCTTTCTGTTTATGAAACTAGCTACAATTATGCTTACACCTGGGACACAAACTCCCCACCAAGAACCTTCCTTTGTTAAAGGATAAGTAGAAACCTCAAACTACTTAGTTGTATTCTATACCAACCTGAACACAATCAAGCATTCTCTAGATAGAATCTTCTCTAGCAATTTTAGCTTACTACCAAATAACCCAACTCATACACGATGCTAGGATTATTTATTCATTAAAAATTAGCACTCCAGAGGCACAGGCAGGTAGATCTCTGTGAGTTCGAGGCCAGCCTGGTCAACAAATTGAGTTCTAGGACAGGTTCCAAAGCTACACAGAGAAACTCTGTCTCAAGAAACAAAATAAAAATAAAAATAAAGTCTTTCCTACTTACTACAAACCAGAAACAGAAACAAACACACACACACATACACACAAGTCCCAGTGAGAATGAAATCTCAAAACAAGTTTCACATAAAGACAAATGAAGTAACACTGAGTTACCTTGTAAAATACAGCACTAAGTGGGATGACTCACTCATTCAGTATGACAATAAATACAGAAAATAAGTCCAAAGCTCTGTGCTGAGTTCTGGCTATATAGTAATTAAAATGCTTAACCCAAAGTAATAAGAATAACAATCCTGATACTTACCGACCCCATCATATATGTTAAGCCTCTCTTTGGCTTTACACTAATTTCTCATAACACCCCTCTAGAATACAGTTATCACTTCCACTACACAGCTGAGGAAACTAAGGCATGAGTCACCTGCTCTAGGTCATGTGGATGTAGACAAGGCCAGGTGTTCAGCCCGGGCACCTCAAGAGAGCCAGCACACCTCCCAGCTACAGATACCACAACCTACTGACTCCAACAGGCTTCAACTGGCTTGAGAAGTCAGCTGATTTAAAAGACTGAGCAGTCTCCAGAGACTGTCTCTGGAACTCTTACCTAAGAAATGCCACATGGCTCTAGGTTGATGGGACCCCCCCCACACACACACACACCCCACACACACAGACACTTTTCTTCTGGAAAAATTTAGTTGCCAGAAATTGACAGGTCAGAGGCATCAGAGCTTAACTGACATGAGTCCACTTCAAAAGTTGTGCTTAATTTGGAAGCACAAAGAGCCACCCAGAGCAGCACAGACACCCTATTTTTGGAAAAAGGTGAACTTTGTGTTTCCCTTCTACCCTGGTTTATCCTGGCAGACCCCCAATAAATCGAGCTGAGATCAAATACACAAAATCCTTCCTTTTCAAGATGCATGGCTCCAGCTTTTCTGTTGGGGACTGTGCTGTAAACATTCCCAAGAGGAAACTGGTTATATGCACTAAGAGAGTCCACAGATCGCCTTGACAACACACACACACATGTCACAAACCTATCTCGGCCCATGCCTTTTGCCCCTTCACTTGGAAGAAGGACAGGAGGCAGACGCCAGGTCTGTGAGGAACACTCTCCTAGCCCATATGTTTACAGGTACTGCAAGGTTATACATGCATTTACAAATTATACCTGCAGACACGGCCACACATGCATGCACATTTACACATGGGCTCACTGCTCCACTTGCTTGTCTGCCACAGCTCTAGGGTTCTCAGCAAAGGCTGTGTTAAAAGGAGCAACTTTCATTCCTCTCCCTTCCCAAATCTGTACCAAATATAGCTTCCAGACAACCTGGGTAGTTTATTTTGGAAAACAAATTAAGGGCAAGACAGGCCAGCAGAAAGCCAAAGCCAACTCAAGGAGTGGAGCAGGCAGATGTGAACAGAATACTCTCTTCGGCTCAAATAAAGCAGGTTTCTTTTCAAAATCTTTATGTCCACTGTAGGGAAGCAATTTGAATGGAAGCATGAATACAAATCCAGGTTAAATAATCTGAAAAGGAAACTCTACTTGGACAATGCTTCTCTTAAGAAATCCTCAAGTATGGCCACTGGGATGACTCAGCAGCTAAAGGCACTTGCCTCTAAGACTGATAACCTCAATCCAATTCCCAGGACCCACATGGTGGAACTGAAAGAACCAATTCTTGCAAGCTGTCTTCTCTATGTGCATGCAGGCGCGCGCGCGCACACACACACACACACACACACACACACACACACACACACACACACACACACACTACATAAAAAATAAATAAATAATTTAAAGAAAATAACTCAAGATTAAACGCCCCCATTCTCTGCAGGATTCAGGCTACACTATACCATCATGGTTCTTCCTCCTACAACATGACTGTCTGCACCAACATCAACACTGTACAACATTCAAGAGAATCCTACGACCTCTTTTGGCCTCCTTGGGCACTGCATGCACCTGAAACACTTCCTGACAGGCATGTGAAATACCCATACAAATAAAATAAATATAAAAAAAATGTGGATGGGGCTGGAGAGATGGCTCAGGAAGAGCACTGACTGTTCTTCCTGAGGTCCTGAGTTCAATTCCCGGCAACCACATGGTGGCTCACAACCATCTGGAATGAGATCTGGTGCCCTGTGCTGGCATGCAGGCACAAGACTGTATACATAATTAATAAATAAAATCTTTTTAAGAATGTTGAATACAATGAAAAGCTGCTGGCTCCCTTGGTTATGCAACCATCCTCAGGGGTGTGCCCTCAGGTGCTCAGTGTCTGCTTGTGGCTTGGGCTACTGTGCTGCACGATACACATGAGAACACTTCTAGCATTACAGAAAGTTCTACAGGACCCAGGACCAGGCAGTTTTAGGCTAAACACGGCTGTTAAGTCCCTGGAAATGACTTACTACACGGACACACTGCTAACATGTAAAACCCAGGGAATACTTGAATCCAACTGACACTGAGCCTTCAGGAAATGCTCTGTATGTCCTCAGGTGGCTCTGAGGGACATGGGTACAGAATCCTCTCTGAAAACACCCAGAAAGACAAGCAAGTTGGGGGCCTGACAGCCCTGAGTACACTTTACTGTATTCCCTTCCTCAAAATCACATGCCACTGTCCTCCTGCCTCTGACCTAGACCTCCCATCTGCATCTGGACTGTCACTCAAGCTCTACACTTCAGTCCCAGGTGAACTCTTCTTACCTGCCCATGGTTTCTAAGTTTGAATTCATGTGTGGGAACACTTGGAGGATGGAAGTGCTCTAAGTGTTCCTATTATTCCCCTGAAAAAAGGGTGTTTCAGAGAACTTTTCTACGTAGATGTCAATCTAGCATCCAGAGAAGAGACGGATGACCACCGTCAAATCAGAAAACCTGTATTTGCTGCCAGACCATCATGAATGGATGGTTTGCTCATGCAGGTCTAAGGTCTTTGCCCCGTGGTTCCAATCCACCCTGAGCCCCAAACACAACCCACCGATGTTGTAGATGAGCCCCGGGCGGTTTCCTTGCTGGATGACTTTCAAAGCTCGGACACCACTGCCACCATCCAGGGAGAAGCCCTGGCACCAGCCCGGCATGCCTTCTGGATGGATCCCTCTTCCAATTCTCATGGTGCAGCTGTGGTGGGCAAAAGGCAAACATGTACACAGCCATCCACAAAGGATTCCAAGTAAGGAACATGTACACAGCCATCCACAAAGGATTCCAAGTAAGGAACATGTACACAGCCATCCACAAAGGATTCCAAGTAAGGAACATGTACACAGCCATCCACAAAGGATTCCAAGTAAGGAACATGTACACAGCCATCCACAAAGGATTCCGGGTAAGGAAGCATGTACACAGCCATCCACAAAGGATTCCGGGTAAGGAAGCATGTACACAGCCATCCACAAAGGATTCCGGGTAAGGAAGCATGTACACAGCCATCCACAAAGGATTCCGGGTAAGGAAGCATGTACACAGCCATCCACAAAGGATTCCGGGTAAGGAAACTCGGTGGCTACCACCCACTTAGGTCTCTCACACTGACTCTCACTCAACCTTACCTCCTGTGGACCCCAAGTACAGCGAGACAGTGAAGTCCAGAGCCAGCCACAGCACCCACAGCAGTGGATGGATGACTGAGAACCGCAGCTAAGAACTAACTTTGGGAGAAAATGCTAGAATTCTCCATAAGCCTGTCACATGCTACAACTCTAACATTTCCTTAAACTCCAAAGACTCAAGAACCCCCTGAGAAAACATTGTAGAGTGAGGCAGCTGGCGGGGTAGAGCACTGATGAGGTGTCTGGAGTCTTCTCATAGGACCCGGAAAACGACTCTAGAATACTAACTTTGGGAGAAAATGCTAGAATTCTCCATAAGCCTGTCACATGCTACAACTCTAACATTTCCTTAAACTCCAAAGACTCAAGAACCCCCTGAGAAAACATTGTAGAGTGAGGCAGCTGGCGGGGTAGAGCACTGATGAGGTGTCTGGAGTCTTCTCATAGGACCCGTGCTCCAGCTTTGCCACTAACAACGTGGCCTTAGGCAGAAACTCTCTGTGCTTCAGTCTCCTCGTCTCAAGATTTAATAGTATTTCCTGCCCTCTCTAAACCACTGGAGGCCAAGGAGAATGTAATGAGATGGTCTACACAAAACCCTTTGGGAAGTGTGACTTCCACAGGTAAACCAAACTGTGACAAATGCCAAGTCTTAGATCTCAGATTGCCATGAGAGACAGGCTGCTGGATATACCACTTGTCCAGCTGTGTCTCCTCCAAGAGCCAGAACTCTGACTAACTGCAACCTTACACTAGACTCAAGAAGCCGTGACAAGCACCTCATGTCCACTGGAGTACAAGGGGCTGCCTCACAGTGTCCACTGGAGTACACAGGAGCCGCCTTCCTGTGAGGTTTCAGCAGAGTCCTACAGATGGCGGCGAGAAATACAGGACACACCATTTATCTTTAGATGAGGGCTGTAAACTCTTGAGGAAAACTGAATGCCAAAACCAACAAAAGTGAATTAATATCCCTGTGTGCCTTAAGAAGACACCTCACTTAACCTCACAACTGCTCCCCCACCCCCAGACTGCCATGAATTTTAAGATGGTGCAACAGCACAAAACCTCCCACAAACAATCTCAGCGGGATTGACGGGCTGAAGACTTCACCAAGGACAGCCTGTGCACTCCCTAATGGCACTCCTCTCCAGGTCTCAAAGCTGCCAGCAGAGGGAAGACGGCAGTGAGAGGGGGGGTGCCAGTTTCTCTTCTCTAGCACAGTCTCACCAAGGACAGCCTGTGCACTCCCTAATGGCACTCCTCTCCAGGTCTCCAAGCTGCCAGCAGAGGGAAGATGGCAGTGAGAGAGGGGGTGCCAGTTTCTCTTCTCTAGCACAGTTACAAATAAGAGCCCTACTTCAGTAAAATAAAACTACCTCACAAGTGGTTTCTTCTCAGTATCAAATAACATACAACTAGGGTTAAAGAAAGAAAAACCCCATTAAATCAGGGCTCCACTGCTGCCAAGTCAGGCCTGTGGCCCACAGGACAGTTCTCCTTGCTCAGGTAGAGGCTAGCCTTGCTGATTTCTCCCCCACCCTGCACGCCCAGCTCACTGGCCCTCCCATACACAGCCACACTCACAGGTTTGGCTGTTCTTTGTCAGCATAGCAGAACAGGAGAGGGCTCAGGCTCCGGGCCAACTCATGCTCCTCAAACTGGCCTGCACCGTCTGTCTTTGCATTGTCCTGTCTGAAGATCAGTGGTAACCCTTTAGGAAGGAGGGAAAAGTTTATAACGTTCCCACCCAGTCTCCCCATGAAGCATGCAAACAGCAAAGGAGAACCACCTCGGGGGAAGTAGGGAAGGAAGCTTGTCAGGGGCTCAGCCCACCATTTGCAGGAACCTAAGTGGGCAGCTTGACTGTGGTCAGACAGATAGTAGGGATGCCCAAGCAGATCAGACTGTGGAAGTAATGTCCGAACTGGCTCCAGTTAGTCAGCTGAGCAGACATCCAAAGGCCCAAGGAAAACATCTACCTGGATGGTCTCCCGGTATACCTGTTTTGTTGATGAGCCAATATGGCGCAGAAATGAAGATCTTTAAGGAACCTTCTGCTCGACATGCAATTCGGATGGTGAGGTTGAGCTGCCGGCGGTTGACATCATAGAGTCGCATTCTGACCATGTAGTTCTGAGTCCCAGGTGGGATGAGCAATTCTTTACAGAGTGGAAAGTTCTCCAGCGACACCCCTAAAGATACAAGACACTGATTTTCTGAACTTGCACTTGAGTCTGTCAAAAATAGCCTATAACAAAACTACAATGGAGTTCTTTTGGAGAAATCGATATGGGCCTACATGATAGAAACCTCAAGGTCACTTCTTATTGTTGGCTAGGAACAAATCCGAAGCAAACCAGAGCCCAAGAGTCACATTAGGAAGTCTGTGTTGTGGAATACTATTTTAACTAGGCAAAGATGAGTTACATTTGCTTTGGCTACAGAATATTAAAACTATGTAAAGGTGTGTTACTTTTATTTATGCTGCATTTGTTATGTATGTAAAGATGTGTAGCTGTTTCACCTTGCCTGCCTAAGGCACCTGATTGGTCTAATAAAAAACTAGATGGCCAAAAGCTTGGCAGGAGAAAGGATAGGTGGGGCTGGTGGGAACACAAAATAAACAGGAGGAAAAATCTAGGCTCAGAGAAGAAGAGAAAAGGACACACCCAGGGCAAGAAGCCAGCCAGACACAAAGAAGCAATGAAAGTAAGATATACAGATATCGGGTAAAAATCCCTGAGGCAAAAAGTAGACGAAGAGAAACAGGTTAATTTAAGTTAAAATAGCTAGCCAGAAATGAGCCTAAGCTAGGCCAAACATTCAAAATTAATAAGTCTCTACATTATCGTTTGGGTGGGTAGCCCAAAAGAAAAAGCCTCGTACAGATCTTACAGAATGATAAACATGGGTGGTTTTCTTTGTTTTGTTGGTTTTTTTATGTTTATTGTTTTTTGAGACAGGGTTTCTCTGTACAGCCCTGGATGTCCTAGAACTCACTCTGTAGACCAGGTTGGCCTCAAACTGAGAGATCTGCCTGCCTCTGCCTCCCAAGTGCTGGGATTAAAAGCGTGCTCCACCACCTAGCTTCCTTGAAGGCCCCAATAAAGTTATGGTTAGTGATGTCCCCTTGGTGGCTCTTCTCTGCCCTGACCCTTACAAAGGAAAACTACTCGCTACAGTAAACACTGTAACCTCCATCTCTGCATCATCCAAAGGGTGGAATACATGAGGACACAGGTAAAGAGCCTGCCTTCTGCTTCAAGGGCTGAGGGCATACACACATTTGCCTCTTCCCATCCTACAGCTAGGAATATGCACGGTTTGAACAGATGGAATCACTCACTATACTCACACACCAATAAAGGGCTCTGATGACTGCTGCCTGGCTAAGTCCTTGGCTTTGAGCCTGTTCACTGAAATACTGCATTGGACTTGATTTCTCCAAGGGGCTCAGAACACTCACAATATACTCCCCGGTGCCGGGTTCACTGAAATACTGCATTGGACTTGATTTCTCCAAGGGGCTCAGAACACACACAATATACTCCCCGGTGCCGGGGGGTTGGTGGTGCACGCCTTTAATACCAGCACTCGGGAGGCAGAGGCAGGAGGATCTCTGTGAGTTCGAGACCAGCCTGGTCTACAAGAGCGAGTTCCAGGACAGCCTCCAAAGCCACAGAGAAACCCTGTCTCGAAAAACCAAAAAATACTGGGTATTTTTCACAGTATTACTACAAATGATGCCAGGACCGCCTTACCCAGTTCAATATTCTGGGACGTATCAGCCGTGGGGAGGGCTGCCTCTTTGCCGGGTTTAAGGGTCCCATTGATTGGCATTCCTTTCACATAGAAGTCAAGCTCACAAGGCAGCAAATTGCAGATGACCACTGTTGGTAGGAGATATATGGTATGCCCTGGCTGTCTGAAAATCTGTTTCGCACTGTCGGAAAATATGTTTGAGGGCATGTAATCTGGATAATTCTCTTTCTTTATGGCCACACAAAACCTGCAAAGACAAAACAGTATGAAAAATGTCAGCCTGAATTAAGAACTAGAATTTGTTTCTGATTAGCTGAATAATGTTAAGACAGTTCAGGACAGCCAGAGAGCTGCAATCCTTGATGAAAATATATGTACTGAGATGTAGCACATGGTAAAAGTATAGGTTTTGAATACTGGGGTTTAATGGGCTTTGGCCATTACGTGCTCCTGGGTAACTATCACTCAATACAAGTTCAAGACTATTTTACTCCAAAGCGCCTTCACTAACTTTCCAAACAGTATGTTCTCCCAGCCATTCAAGAAACCCCTTTTATCAGACATGTCTGTCTTGAACCACATACAAATGGGGTCACATGGTATATACTACTCTGTGTTGGGCTTTTTTCTTGTTCAACAAAATTCATGCATGTTGTTGTATGCATGGCATTTTAGTTTCACAGAGTGCTGTGGGAACACACTCTGACCAAAAGCACTTTAGAGAAGAAAAGAGCTGGCTCACTCTCTGGCTCATGTACAGCCCAGGACTGTGCAACCAGCCTAGGGATAGTGACACCCACAGTGGACTGGGCCTTCCTCCATCAGTTAATAATTAAGACAATCCCCCACAGGCACGATCACAAAAGCCAATCTGATCTAGGTAATTCGTTAATTGAAGCTTGCCACTAAGATGACTCCAAGCTGTATCAAGTTAGCATTTAAGGAAGAGAGATTAAAAAACACTAAGGATGTTTGAAAAAAGTCATAGGGAATCCTACTATTTTGTTAAAATTACAGTGTGTGTGTTTGTGGCTTTGGATTGGGGTGAGACGGGGTCTCATGTAGCCTAAGCCAGACTCAAGCTCACAATAAACTTGAGGATGACCTCAAACTCTTCATCTCTTCCCTCCATGTCCCAGCTGCTAGGATTACAGGTTTGTGTCTCTATGCCTGGCCTCTACTAGCTTCATCTCATGCTTTTATTAGCTTCGCAAGGCTAAATAGGTGGGTTTACTTATTTTTATTTTCTCACAGAACATTAAAAATTGTAGCTTTCCCATAGAACTGCTTTCGCAGGATGCCCCATTTTTGAGATGTCTTTATTATTACTTTTTTATTGTTATTGCTCAATTCAAAATGTTTTCTAATTTCTTTTGTAATTTCTTCCTTTGACCCAAAGGTTATTTAAAAGTACAATTTGATTTCCAAATACTTGAGGGTTGTATAGACATCACATTGCTGTTGATCTGACCCAACTCTATTATGATCAGGATATGTATTATGTATGATTTCAATTTTTAAATATTTATTGATCTTATGACCCAAGAGATGGCCTCTCAAAGAATGTTCCACATGTACTGGAAAGTAACATAGAATCTGGAATTACTGGCCAAGGCATTCTCTGTGCATATGCCGACTAAAATAAGCTAGTTGACTGTGGCTGAAATCTCTGCTATCTTTGTTACGTCACTAGCTGTGATCCTCTGTGTGTTCGTCTCTCTCTGTCCAGTCTCCCTACAACTGCACACTTAGGGCAAGGGTGTACTAGAACTCTCCACACTACGCTTGCACTTGAGTTTGAACTCAGTGAATGCCCATTTCACTATATGAAAAGCAGAACAGATGAGCTTCAAGTCTCTGAGAGCCTGACCCCAGGAAGATCCCCTCCCATGCTACAGAGGGGAGCATGGCTTAAGTGTGAGGCAGTTTCATCAGCATGCTCAAGAAAGTCAACACCAGCTGTGAATCTTTAAAATCACTCATTAGGAGGAACCCAGGCCGGAGATTTGGCTTCCCAATTTAGATACGGAAGCTTGGTGACTTTTGTTTTGTTCTTGTCTTCTTTGTGTGTACTCTCTTTGCACTGATCTGATGTGGCTACACCCATCGTTGGTTGTTCCTGCCACAAACTTTCACTCAACAACTTACAGAATGAGAACACAAAAGACTCACTAAGGGTCAGCAGAGCCCCTGCAGGGGAAAAGCCAATGCCTGGCAGCCATTCCAGCAGCACACACCTGAAGAAGCGGCTTTTCTCCGTGTCCATGGAATGGCACTCCCGTTTGCTGCTGCTGACCTCTGCAGTCTTCACGACGTTGGTCCAGTGAATGGGAACCTTGCAGAAAAACACACCCAGTCCTTTGGGTCGGGCCTGCAGTCTCCAGGAAGTGAGGTGGAGAGGCACAGCGAACGAGTCCCCAGGCATGATAGCAGGAAGCACCACCGGCTCTGCCATGGAAAGAAGGGTTTCAGCGCTGGCAGGAGACGATCCCCACCTCACAACTCATTAATCTCAGGACAGAGGCAAGACACACTATGTACACTGACTGCATGGAGACAGCCAGTCACAACAACAGTAGACAATACTTAGTTCTACACCATCTGACGTACTGTCAGGAGCTGAGGGACTGTCCAATCGTAATTCCATTGGTGTCTCCAGTCTGTTCTTTACAATGAGGGCCGACCGGACAGTGATTACTTTCCGAGCACTGCCTTCCATTGTGACGGCAAACACCACCCGTACGGGTGGGAGCGATGAGAACTGTGAAAGAGAAAGAAAGTAACTGTGCATCTGGGAAAACACACAGTATGTGAATTCCAGAGTATGAGAAATCTGGAGTACTGTTGTCACCACAGATTTTCAATGAGCCATTATCCACCCCACACCAATTTTCAACTCTGAAGTAAACAAGCAGGCCATATATATTGCTATAAAAGAGCCAGGACTGCTAGGCATGGTGGTGCATGCCTTCAATCTCAGAACTCTAGAGGGAGAGCCAGGCAGATATCTGTGAGTTAGCCTGGAGTCTACATAGTGAGTTCCACAATAGCCAAGGTTCTGTTGTGAGACCTTCTCTCAAAACAACAACTGCCCCACCCAGTGGTTAAGAGTACTGGCCACTGTTCCAGAGGACCCAGGTTCAGTTCCCGGCACCTACATGGCAGCTCAAAACCATCTGTAACTCCAGCTCTAGGGGATTTGCACTCTTCTGGCCTCCGCAGGAACAAAATACTCACATTGCACACTTACATACATGCTGGCAATCACACACATAAAATACTCAAGAAAATCAATGAATTTTTTTAGAGCCAACTCTAAAAATGTCTATAAAATAATCTACTCAGATATAACTCCACAAATTATGTCCCAAAAGGAACCATCAGGGCTGGAGGTATGGCTCAATGGTAGGGTATTTGCGTAGCACGCAAGAGATCCTGGCTTCAGTCCTTAGATGTACAGAGAAAGGAAGGAGGGTTATGCCCAGGTCTCCAGATACATTATAAAGAGCTTCAACTAAGATGGTGGTAATAACCTATTCAACTTTTCCTGTGAATTGGTACCACAAGCTTCATAAAGAAACTGTAGACAAGACTTGTTTTTATCTCTCCTGTGGAAATAAAGAACAGTCATGTGAATCAGCTAAAGTTAGAGACTCTGAGGTAGGACCTTGCATGGCACCAACTGGTTTCTCTCGCGTGGCATCTCCCTTCCAAATTAAGGCTGACAAAGTATTCCCGGAACACTAACAAGGGGCCGGGTCCTGCCCAGACACACAGAAGACAGAAGGATGTCTTCAGAGGATTCAACCTGTCTGTGAAAAGCAGTGTGTATGAAAGCCTTGTCTATTTGGGGGTCGTTCCTCCAGAGTACATATCTTCTTTTTCTCTCAGTGTGACTCAACTTACCCTCATGCCAACCAAAACGATTGCATGCTTTCAAGAACTTTAAAAATAAACTTCTTTCTTCATCATAACCCTCCAGGTTCTACTCCATAACCACGATTTGGCTTCATTTGTTTTGCTTTTCATGTAGCCCAGGTTGACTTTTAATTCCATATGTGCCTGAGGATGGTCTTGAGCTCCTGACCCCCCCTGACTCTACCTCCCAAGTGCTGAGATTACCAGTATGCACAACCTTAATAAAGGGGACACCAGCTTGGACACTCGGTATAACAGAGAGAAATGGTTCCTTATTGCTGTTGGGTTACAGTAGCTGTGTTAAGTTCCTGTGTGTTCACTTGCACCCAACAGTCTTCGTGCAACTACCATACAGAACTATCTGCTTAAGAATGAATTCCATGTGAAAAGAGGATTCTAGAGGCACAACTCTTAGGACACACTATCGATGCTTCTTTGCCACAGAAACATATGATAGCACAGCCTTGTACTCCGTTCTGCCAACTTTACTGTTACTAGAGCAAACTGTGTGAGAGCAGCCCTAGCGAGCAATGAAGCAAAGCACTCTGCTTCCAAACCAGAGAGCTGAGAAGTCCAAGTCAGAAATCAAACCATCTTTTCTGAGGTATTCTGGGGGTTTTGTTTTGTTTTGACTATGATTTTTTTATTTATGTGGATGTGTGTATCTCAGTGTGAGTGATACCATGCATGTTCAGGTGTCCCTGGAGGCCGGAAGAGAGAATTGGATCCCTTTGAACTGGAGATACAGGCAGCTGGGAGCTGCCTGCCATGGTGCTGGGAATTAAACTTGGATTCTCTGAGCCCCCTCTCTGGAGTGTTTTTAAGGAGCACATCGAGTCACAAATCACCATCAAAGCTCCAGCCTCCACTGGCTCAGCTCCCAAGGACTACACGCCAGAACTTCCAGGCCCACCTGAAAGAAACTTCAGTGCCTGGGATCATGGAGCCCGAGAAATGGAAAAGGAAAGCCTAGACCATACCATTCATATCACTTTGTAATGACACTTCAGCACCAGTGAGGAGGGAATCTAGTGGTCCTGTATTTCCCTCGCATGGCCTTTGGACCAAGCATAGGAATCACAACTGAACCAGGGAAAATGGCTAGTTCAGGTGGAGAAGGAAAAAGAGGCCTTGGATGCATCATAACCCTCAGCCATGTGCACTCATTTAGGGGGACCACAAATAGGAAAAGGTAGGGTAAGAGCCAGTTACACGCAGGCAAAAGAGTCCTTTGACCATCAAGAAACACACAGGTATGTACAATCTCAGTACGGTGTACACACTCAATAACACACGGCTATATACAATCATCTCAATGCGGTGCACACACTCAGTAACACACGGCTTTGTACAGTCTCAGTGCAATGCACATTCACTAACCACAATGATGACAACAGAGATCATACTCACATAAACCTGGGGATGTATGATATTTGTTCTGCTGCTTGGGCTGCCAATCTAAGAGAGAGTCACAGAGTCAGAGTGTAGGCACAGACCCCCAATAGCAGGTGCAATTAAATTCAGTGACAATGTAACTGCTTTGAGTGGTTTTTGAGATTACTTTCAGGAACAATGTCTATACCATGTTGTGAGCAGTAGGCAGAAAACAAAATTCAGTCTGCAATCATTTAACAGGTGTGAGGTTTCTATAGGACCCATCCATGCAATGGAAAAGTATGTATAGTGAGAATTGGTTCTTTCACTGCCTGGCAAGAATTTAGGCAGAAAAATAATCTGGGGGGAGAAAATAGGGGGGAGGGAGAATTGCTTTCTCCCACTGGGGAGAGAGAGAGAGAGAAAGAGAGAGAGAGAGAGAGGGAGGGAGGGAGGGAGAGACATAGAGAGAGACCCTGAAAATAAGCACCTGTGGAATGTGTTCTCCAAAAGTATCTCTCATGAGGAAAGCTGGTGTCTCTACAGTTTCTCACTCATCACTGGCGCCCATAGAGAGGTCACCTTCCCAACAGAAAGTGAATATGGCACAAGAGTACTTACGGCACCTGCATCACCTGGACAGTGGCCTCTGCCTAAACCAGCAGCCAGGGAAGCTGCCTGCATCCTTCCCCAGTGCCTGCATCCTTCCCCAGTGCCTGCATCCTTCCCCAGTGCCTGCATCCTTCCCCAGGGCCTGCATCCTTCCCCAGGGCCTGCATCCTTCCCCAGTGTCTGCATCCTTCCCCAGTGTCTGCATCCTTCCCCAGTGTCTGCATCCTTCCCCAGTGTCTGCATCCTTCCCCAGTGTCTGCATCCTTCCCCAGTGTCTGCATCCTTCCCCAGTGTCTGCATCCTTCCCCAGTGTCTGCATCCAGTGCCTTCATCCTTCCCCAGTGTCTGCATCCTTCCCCAGTGTCCCAAAGTCCCAGGACTACAGGCCAGGGAAAAACTAGAGTGAGAGCATGTGAACTCATGTGCAATCAGATAAAATGGTCACCTCTGTACCTCTGTGCCACACAGGATTTGAGGACACAGAGCTAAAAGGACAATAGAAAAACACAATAATATGAAAATGTATATAAATTATAAAACTTTATAATACATCAAAAACAGTCACTATAGTTATCCCTCTGTGTATACAGGTCTCACACCCTCAGACTTAACCAGGCCCAGATCATGTGCAGTGTGGTCAGGCTAATAGTGGTCACCCTGTACTGAGCATGGACAAACTCTTCCCTCATCTCTATCCCCTAAACAAGATAGTATTAGCAACCATTCCCACAGCACTCCTGGTGCTAGGTGCCTTAGGTAGTCTAAAGATAAGGTCTAGTTTACTAGAGGATATGCATGACCTGTGTGCAGACACTATGGGACTTGAGCACCTAAGATCTGGGTATGGGAGGGCATGTGAAGTCATGAAACCCATCCCCCAGAGACACTGAGGGATGACGGTACTCAAGTTTCTCAGACTGTAAGCAGCCAAAAAAGGTAACTGCTGACATGAGACAACATGTTGCTGCCAAATTTCCACCTTGTTTTCTTCTGATGTCAACCATGGCCCGGCTTACCTACTTGTAGATTGCCAGTCCCTACGCCTGAGCCAATAAGGGGGGAACAAAGCACTTCTCTGGAGCAAGGTTATTGCAAGCTTCACCATGTGACAGTCTGACCTGGCAGGCTATGGCATGACTCTACACAGCAGCCACTCACCGTAGAAGACGACGAATTTTTGTCTGGTGCTGCATACCGAAAGAAGGTGCCAACCTTGTCCACAGACACTGGGCTCACTGGCTCCCAGCCGTTCACTCGAACTTGCAGCTGATGGATATGCAAATGGTGGGTATGTCTGTCGATCAGAACAGAAGGGGTCCAGTCTCAGAAAGGAAGGAAATTAGGAGCAGAGACTCTAATCCAGTTTATTGGTGTAAAAGCCAGCCAGCTAAACCTTCTCAGCATTACCTAGTGAGAGAAGTCAAGAGGACGGTTTAACTGGCTTTTATGCTGGTGGCAAATGGTGAGATGTGAAAGGCTGGAACCAAGGGGCACCCTCTCTCCTCTCATACAAACCATGCAATCCGTGTGCTTGCCAGATCTACCCAGCAGCCCCTACCTAGCCTTGATGAGGTAATGCTGTCAATGGCTATCAGTTGAGTGGGGTAGTCAAAGTATGCTAGCCATTGAATCATGTAACCACGCCCTTGGGGATACATAAGCTTTCTCTTTTTTTGGTTCCTTTGTTGAAAATTCTACTCCTCTCAGGAACACATGCAGTTGTTTGGCTCCAGCCCTACACAACCACAGGCAGGCCTGGGAGACAGAGCCCTTGGAGTTCCTGAGCTCGAGTGCTCAGCTGAAATTGGAGCAGAAGGCAGCGGGCAGAACAGAAGGAATGAGAGGAAATTGCACGTTTAATTCTATTTTAGATTTTGCCTAATTCAAGCCAGAAGGCTGAAATGGGGAACTGAACTTGAGGCTAACAGGAAGGGAGGAGGGCAGCACAGGGTACAGTGTGCCAAGGGGAAAATGCCAAAAACGGCATTTATTTTGACGAGTTCAAGCAGAACAGTGGGTTATAGAACATGGGAACCGAGACGGAAATGACACCAAGGTCAAGCCCTCTCTAATGCAAGAGGCAGGGCTTGCGTATTCAAAGTCACCATCAACAAATGCCAAAAACGGCATTTATTTTGACGAGTTCAAGCAGAACAGTGGGTTACAGAACATGGGAAATGACACCAAGGTCAAGCCCTCTCTAATGCAAGAGGCAGGACTTGCGTATTCAAAGTCACCATCAACAGGAGCCTCACGAAGGACAGGACACCCTGGAAATCTGTTCAGCATAGAGATTCCATCCTTACCTCCATAAGACCCACCCCCCCAGAGACTCAGATCCACACATTCAGAGCCCTTGCTGAACAGGACTAGCCTGTGCAAACCCACACAAGAGTGCTTAATGTTGTAAGAGATTTGCACAGAAGCATGGGACTCAGGCCTGAAACCAGTCTTCCACTTCAGCTTGCCCTGAAATCAATTCGAGGCTCAAGCACTAAATCTTTACCCATTTACGCCCACAGCAGCCTTCCCATTTAAAAACACAGTGAGATGCCTTGTTGGGCATTCTATTATCTTGCAGGAAATGGAGTTAAAGCCTTCTTCCATATTTGGGCCAAGTCCTCTACCTGGCTGCTTCAGGAGTGACCGGGCCAGCAGTGCCCCTTGAAGAGCTAATCTTACACTGCTTGGAACTGCTGCCTTACTGTTACTGGCTCTGCATCCTGAGCCTATCTGCTTACAGAACATTTGTTCAGATTGAAATCACCAGGCTTTGAGAACCTTTCTAGAATAACACATCACCCCTGCACGTGGAAAACTGGCCAGGATACAATAGATCTGAGTGTTAGGATGCATCTAGCCTTTGCCCAGATTCTGAAATACTTAGTTATCTCCTCACACATCAAGTAAATGGGAATAGAAAGAAATGGTTTTTCAGATGGCATGACAGTCTATATTTTAAGGGGAAAACAGTGACTTTCAAAATATCTTTTCACAACAAAACATTCAAGTCATGAATATGTGAAAGGCAAAACACCGGGGACAAACATTTGCATCCACATCATGTCGTTCACAGAAGAATAAACAACCATATTTTACCTGTGTCTTAACTTTCCTCTGGCTTCAAATTCAAAAGGAATCTCTTCACCCGTGAGGACTTCTCGCCACTCACTGACGTTGTGGGCATCATCGAGAAATGCTCCATTCCCTTCTGGAACCACCCCAGGACTCCCACTGTGAGACAGTGCAGCCCTGGAACCAAATCAGATGACTGGTTGTCCCCCCTGCCTTGCTCTCCCTGCTGTCCCTACACGAGTTCCAAGCCAAGGAGAAGCAGGCCGCCTGTAACGGACTAACTACATGAGCCTGACATAACCTGGTTGCTCTTTTTGACCAAAGAAGGACCTGACAGGCCAATGACTTCAGCTTGGTCGCACCTTCGGATGCTTAGAAATAGACTGAAGCAATGGTGAGCACAGTAGCACAAACTTATTACCTCAGCTGAGGAATGATGACGAGTATAAAGCCAGTCTGTGCTATACGGCATGTTTTAGGTCAGCCAGGGCTACAGAGTGAGACCCTGCTTTTATGGTGTTTTTTTTTTTTTTTTAATTTAAAGGAAGTTCATTTGTATGTCTGTGGTGTGAGCATGTGTGTGTTACATCATGCAAGTCTGCATATGTGAAGGTCAAAGGTCAACATCAGGTGTCCACCTCAGTGATTCTCTACCTCATTAACTGAGACGGTATCTCCCTGCCTTCACTTCCTAGTGCTGGGACAATAGGTACACCACCTTCTGCAGCTTCTTACAAGGGTGCCGGAGCTGCACCTCACATCCGCATGCTTACAGCAAGAACTTTACTGACTGAGCCATCTTCCTAGTCCTACACAGCAGGCATTAAGGCGCGTGCCGCATGAGCATGAGCTCAGGAGCTTGATCACCAGAATCCACAGAAGAATGCTGGGTATGCTAGTGCATGGCTGTGCACTGAGGAGGGGACACAGGACACTTGGGGCTGAGTGGCCAGCCAGCATTCCTGAGGATGACATCCAAGGTTGCTCTCTGGCCTGCATGCATACATACATACACACATACACACATACACACATCCAGCATTCCTGAGGATGACATCCAAGGTTGCTCTCTGGCCTGCATGCATTCATACATACATGCATACACACATACATACACACACACACCCTTCCTAGTGTCCTTTGACATTCTCACACACACACACACACACACACACACACACACACACACACACACACACAAAACACACAAAACACACAAAACACACATTTACCACACACACACACACACACACACACACACACAAAACACACAAAACACACATTTATCCACAGCCACATTCATTCACACTCACACACACACATGCATCAAAAAGAAAGAAACCCCTGAGAGCTGTCAGTACCCAGTCACCTGCTCCAGCAGTGAGTCTGGAACATGGAAAGCAAGGCAAGACTTCCTAAGGGAGCATGCTGGTGACCAGCAAGCCTTTAACTGACATGAACTGGTAAACAGCAAAGTCTTGGCCGAGGTACCCTCATGGCTACTGGAAACAGGAGAATGTAGTTTCAAATCAGCTGACAGTTACTCAGTTCTGCCCTTCATGAAGCTGAAAGCGCCCCCTGCCCCTCTGTACTTAGAACACTGAGCCAACACCCAAGCAGGCAAAGTTGTCAGACAAGCTTTGCATTTAGCTTAGGCAAATTCTCATGCCCTCCCGACTCCACCCAATGCTGTCCCGGGCCAAAGTGTGTTTTAGAGAAAAAAGCAAGTGTTCAGGAGTAGCATTTCCAAAGCAGGCTGGGAGGAAAACGTGAAATAGTTACTTTTGTAAGCATATATAGCTCCTTTAAAGAGTGTGGCACCTATTAGCCCTGGAATGACTCTTCTCTCACCCAGGTTACGACGAGCACATTTCCACTACTGCGCACGGAATCAGAACTTCCACCATCCATTTCGGGACATTAGTTACGGATTTAGTCACAAGCCCAGAGGCCTTGAGCTGGGGCCAACCTCGCCCTGCCTGGCAGCTGCATGGACGTTGCTGGGGAATCTAGGTGGCTCCAGGGACAGAATGAAGGCACCTTACCTGGTGGGTGTGGTAGTAAGAGTGGCAAACCACAGCGTGCATCCCGTGTGGTTCCGCAGAGCAAAGGGGACAAATGGCTGCCGGCGCTTGGGGGTTTTCACCTCTGCTATGACAAACAAACAAAAAAGTCTATTAACATCTACTCTGTCTCCTGTGTGGAGACAGAAGCAAGAGAAAAGGAACTGCAGGCTTATTGACATGACAAACAGATGCTTCATGGATTTGCTGGCTTCTGTATGATGTCTCTCTCTCATACGTGTATACACACATACACACAGTCCCCACAACTCTCATGGGTCTTACTGCTGAGAGAAGAGGGCACCAGGACTGGACCTGGTTTTAAAAAAAAATAAAACAAAACAAAACAAAATAAAAGGCTGAAATAGGCGACTCGTCCCAAGCAATACATTTTTAACATTAACCCTGGTTGAAGCCCCTGTTTTCTCTTCTAGTGCTATCTTTTCTCTCGGTCTCTGTCTGTCTGTCTCTGTCTCTTTCTCTGTGTCTCTCTCTGTGTCTCTCTCTGTGTCTGTGTCTGTGTCTGCTCTCTCTCTCTCTCTCTCTCTCTCTCTCTCTCTCTCTCTCTCGGAAATCAAGGCCATGCTATCTGCAAACTTTTAAAATGAAATTTAAGCTCTCTTTCTAAGTGGGTACTGTATGTGTTTGTGTGTGCACGTATGTGCAGGCAGGCATGTAGAAATTCCTCTATCTTTCTTCACTGTATTACTTACTTACTTACTACTTATTCTGAGACAGGGCACCGCATGAATCTGGAGGTCACCGACCGACTGGTGGCCTCTGCCCGCCTCCTACACCAACACTACGGTTATGGACACATGCTACTGTGCAAGCTTTTCCACATGGTCTGGGGAGCAAAACTCAACTCTTCTTGTTTACACTGAAGAGCCAGCTCCCCAACTAACCCAGGCAACCCAGCTGGTACAACAAAAAGAGGGCACCTTCAAGGAGGCTGCAAAGGCAACATTCCACACAACTGTTTCACAAAACAGCCTCTGATTGGCAAAGAAACCACAATGAAAAGAAAATGATGTAACCAAATCCTAGGGAGAGGTAAACTATCAACACTGAGAACTGTCAGAGGGCACTCCAGTGTCCTCAGGACCCTTCTGCAGTCCACTCTGACCAAGGGCCTGTCACCTCCAGTAACCATACAAAGTAAGTGTGTGTGGGGGGGTGTGGGTGGGGGGGAGAAGACACGTGCACCAGCAGTGGAGAACACCAGTGAGGCTGAAATCATTTCACAGGGCCACATGCCTCCCACAGACAAGACCAAGAACATAAGCCATGCATGTCCAGCCATGATAATCATCAGCCTACTAAGAATCCATCATTTTATCTTGTGTTTGCATTATGACAGCTTTCCAAAGGGGAGGAGCATGGTGACTTCAGTTTAACACAAGTTCTCTCTGACAGCTGCAACTCGGCAGGACCAACAACAACCATCTACTGAGGACAGAAACAGTCTAGAGCAGTGGTCTCAACCTGGGGGTCAAGACTCCTTTGGCAAACCTCTATCCCCAAATTATTTACATTACAATTTATAATAGTAATTATATTATGAAGTAGCAACCAAATAATTTTATGTTTAGGGGTCACCATAATATGAGGAACTGTACTAAAGGGCATTAGAAAGGTTGAGAACAACTGGTCTAAAGGGTGCTCCAGTCCCATATTGTATCGTGTGAGGATACTGCTAAGGAGAATGGTTACCTACGACTGTGAGCACTTCCATCCCAGGGGCCTCATTTGGTTCCCTAGGTGCTCCCCAAGTAAAAGATAAAGCTATGAGGCTGCATCACGAGCTTTCCAAAGGATAAACAGTGCTCATGTGCTCAGAGAGTGCCTTCATTACGACAGACAAGGACCAGGAGGAAAAGGACCAGACATGCCTTCCCATCCCACTATAAACCAGACTGAAAGTTTCCACTTCATGTCATGCTTTGACAGAACAGGTGGCAGATTGGCTTTGATCACTTTGAAATACAGGCTCAACTAAAAAAAAATAATAATAATCCATACAAAGCAATCTACATGTCTACTTCTGTGGGATTAGATAACATGGAAGGCACAGTGCACAGGACCCAAAGTTTCATGTGCTGATCAGACCTAATAACAGAGGCTAAAACCAGAGAACATACAATCCCAGCACAGCATCAGCATCCAACTCGTCTGTGTCCTCCTTGCCTTTGGCACATTACCAAGAGAAAACTCCCAAATCCATCAAAGAGAACATTATTTCCTGATGACCTCAAAAATCTGCCTCCAGTGAGCGAATCCAATTCCTTCAGGGGCTGAGAAATCCTCAAGCTCCTCACATCCAAGTTCAGTATCAAGCTAGGCCAGCTGAGGAAATCCTATCCCTCTGCATGACTTTTCCAAAGTAATTGGCCATTCTAAAGCGTGGGATTTTTATGCTCCATAGCAGCTCCGCCTATCAGAAAAGGCCTGGTTTGTGGATCATAATAAAGACACTGAAGCCCCTAGTGTGATGCTAAATACTCAAAGAAGTGAAGGCAAATTCCTGTCTCACACTGGCAACAAGGGAATAACGTTCAGTGTTTGCCTCAATGAGGAACTCATCCTGGAAAGCTCAGCAGGGTGAATTCACAATAAACGAAGATGAGAGCCTCTCTCAAAGACCTATCTCAGCACAGCCTTCTAAAATCAGCGTATACAGTCACCCTTCTGTGTTCATAAACCTGTTCCATATTCCCAGGAAAAGAGGCTCAAATGCCTTTTGGTTTATCTTCCCTTTCCTTTTGACAGGGTCTCGCTATGACGCCATGGCTGGCCTGGAATTTATGATCCTTCTGCCTCAGCCTCCCAAGGGCTGGGATTACAGACGTGGAGCACCAAACCCAGCTGAAAGGCCTTTTAAAATAAGATATATCAAGACCGATGATCTGCAATTAGTCACAAACACAAATCAAACAGCGCTCATCAACACAAAGGAAGAAACGTAGCCTGGTCAGCCACAATCTATTTCTTCCCGTCTCGCTCAGCAGTCGATTCTCTAGGAACGTCTCCTTTCCTATCTCCTAAGGACATAAATTCCGATGTAAAGAAACCAAAGTCTGTATCCAAGCTATTTGTTGGGAAACACTTTCTTGGCTCTATGACTAATGGTTACAGCTCCTCCCTCACAGAACCCTGCATCCCCATCAGAATAAACGCTGACTGAGGACTCCACAGGCAAAGCCACACAAAGGATGGGGACCCTCCCTCCTTCCTTGTCCTTGTAAGGGCCCTTCATGGCTTTGGCTTTTCTGAGTTGTGGTCTAGGCAGTTGACACGGAAGCAGATGTCATATCTGCTGCCACTGCCATGCTGAGGTGCCTCTCTGCTCATCTATCTGCTGGAGACATTCTTTCAGGTCACTGAAGCAGAGTACTTACAACTGAATATACCCCAGATCAGCTCCAGTTAACAACACATATGGGAAAACAATGTACGAATGGCCGTAGAAGGCGGTTCTTGAAACAGGAAGATGATGCAAGCCCTCTGGCTGTACTGTACCTCGAGCATAGATCTGGTGCTCTAGGTTAGTCAGACTGGCTGTGCTCCTAGTTCTAAGGTAGACAAGAGGGAGGCCTGGTAGACAGGAGAGACAAAGTTAGAGGGTAAGAGCAGGTGGGGTAAGGAAGAATCACCTCCACAAACACGAGTTAAGAACATTACAAATGGCATGCATCATGTAGTTGTGAGAGCGCCCTTCCTGACTGTTAGGAGCCAAGAATGTGCTTGGCAAAGCCAGCAGTTTTCTGCAAGGCTTTGATGGCACGGCTGTGTCAAGGCAGTGTGCAACCCTTTTTTTTAATTAGGCAACAATGAATGCACTGAACATCCCTTCGAAGAGAGCAACAAACCTTGGGGGGAGGGGTTAATTTAAACCATGTTATGTATTGGTCCAGAAAAGTCTAATCAGTGTGGATTTTAAGGGAGACATACCATACCAGTTGGAAAAATGCAGGAGTGACAGAGTATTGGACCCTGGGCACCTCAAATACTCAAGGCAAGAGTCAGTCCAGCCTCCAGATTTCAATAGTCCTTTGTTGGGGTTTCTCTCACAGTACTAAATTCCAACTGAATATAAACATCATGAAAACACTTGTACTTCTAATAGACTGATCAATGGAGTCACGCTGCTGAGGTTTGCCTATCAAATAAATAAGCCCTGACTGAGAGGCTCACCACCATGACAAAACAACAACCATGGCAACAAAAAACCTAACTTTGGGGAGAGTTGTGATTAAAATTCTCAAATAAGATCTGAAAATTAGAGGTCAGTTCAACATGGTTGAAAGCCAACGTCACACATGCTGTGGGGCACCTCTGAAAAAGACATTTCAGACTTAGGTATATGAGTTTCGGGTCAGGGTTAGTGTATCAAAACAGCCTCATTAACCATAAAAATCTAGATAAATAAAAATCAAGCTTTTCTATAGATAGGTTGGTTTATTAACAATATAAAGAAGAGAAAGTGTAAGAGAGTGGGGCCTTCCAGCACATCAGACCTTCCTGGAGTTGGCCCTGAATGGATCTGAGGTCACCTAGTAGAGCTCTCTCTTCAGAACCACACTCTTGGCCATACAAGGATGACTTAGTCTTCTGGACAGGCAGGGTCATTAGGAGGGTTAGGAGAGCTGGGGCTTGGGCTCAGAAGCACCAGCACAGAAGAGAGAACGCGCACAGCACAGCCGAAGCTTTTGTCTTTCCTTCTAGAAGCACGAGGCTGTCTGCTCACACTCCCCAGGAGAGGCAAACCAGCACAAATGCTTCCTATGCTAAGAAAGGCCATCTTCCTGGACTGTTTGCAGACCAGATGGAATATTTACGTATTCATGAGCTATGTGAAGTTCTGCCAAGACTCTCCAAAGAAACCACACTGAAAGAGTTGGGGCTGAGCTGAATTTGGATGACAATGGCTTGTGGGGCAACCAGGACCTGTGTTGTCTGTCACCATCTCCCCAGCTTGGAAGCAAACAGAGCTCCATGCTGAGGTATTCATCTGAACCAAAAACATCATCAACAAAGAACACACTGACTCCTTCCTCAAGAGGCCTGTATTCAATCCCTTTATGCTCTATGAACAATACAGGCCCCTCTTTTAAAAACATTTTCCCACTTGGGATCTTGCCCTCCCTCTTTCCAAGAATACATGCAAACCCTCTAGCACTAGCTTTAAATGTTTTTATAACCCAGTTTTTAAAAAATCCTGTCGACTGAAACACCAATTGTTTCTGCCCAACTGAAAACAAAGCAACCAACTGCGTGTCCTGACATGCTCTCGGGTGCACCAGCTCTTCTTCGATGTCACTGGAAATCAAGAGTAACGGTTTGCAGATCCTGTCTCCCCCACGTCGGTGGAATTAGAGCCTGCATTAACAGTTCAGTAGTTTGTGCCAGAAAACTGTCTTTTACAAAGACTAAAAGGAACAACAGAGGCCAGTCTGGACTTCATATGGAGTTCTCCACAGAGAATGACCATTCTATTTGAATCTCTCGGTGAAGGGCAGCTCTGTAGATTAACACTGATCCAGACAGACATGACCAGTCTGGACTTCATATGGAGTTCTCCACAGAGAATGACCATTCTATTTTAATCTCTCGGTGAAGGGCGGCTCTGTAGATTAACACTGATCCAGACAGACATGCACATATAAAAACCTTACTTTGTCCAAAGCATGGTGGATCCACTGAGGAGCCCATCCACTCTTCTGACTTGGCTGACTCTGTTCCCTTGTCTTCTTTGCAGTAATCCGCCAACCACGACTCCTTGGTGCTTACATACTGGTCTAGAGAGGATGCCGTGAAGGCATTAAGAGGGAGACAGAAAAGGGGAAAGGTTCATATCAAATTATTTCAATTCAGCCAAACAAGCTTTTCCTAAGCGCCTCCTTATCTGCTGCGCCTATGCTAGAAGCAGAAAAGCCTGGGCCCAGGGGAAAGCATTTCCACATGGAAGAGAATCAAAGCAATCAGAAGAACTACCTCCATTAAGCCCCCCATGAAGTGAAAAGGACTAAGGCAAAGACAGAAATGCAACGCTATGAAGCAGAGAAGGGTAGATGTTCTCAGCTTTGACAACTGGGGGGGCAGGGGTGCCACAGTCCGGGAAGTCTTTAGAGAGGCAGACCTGTGCTTTGGTTCTTGAAAAAGTGAACAGAGACTCAATGAGACTGAGGACAGAGTCACATTCTAGGTGAAGGGACCAGGAAACCTCTGAGACATTGAAGAACATGGGACTCTCGGGGAACCCTGAGTGCAATGCTGTACCTTCAGTGCACACACTGCAGGAGAGACACAGCAGAGAAATCTAGACCCACAACTGTTCATTCAGGGCTAAGTGTTTTCAGAGCTAAGTGAGTGTGACAGTGGATAGGGAGCAGCACAGAGACCAGGTTAGGGTTCACTAAGAGAGCAGCCATGATGAGTACGTGATGTCAGGTACAGGGCCGAGCATTTGCCCACCTGGCATCCTTGTTTGCAAGTAAAGGGCTAATGTTACAGATAAATGTTAAGTCTACAGCAGGCAGCTTTCTGCTCACCAATCAGCACAGAAGTGAGGTTGATATCCAGGCGGGGTTTGGCCTTGGCCTCCAGCTTCAGGCGAGGAGGATGGAGACGACTAGCTGCCTGTTGTTGCCAGGATACAGAGCACGGCCATGGCTCAATAAATGGCTCCCAGCCTAAAAGAATGCAGGAAATAAGACATCTGTTCAGCAGATACCAAAGGTTTATAGGAAAACACTGTTCATGAATGCTCAGCAAGGAAAGGCTGCAGCTTAATGGCTCCAATTCAATCCCACAATGAAAGGGCCACCTTTGGCCACAGGTCACCCTACAGATGCCTGCTGTCCTGTCCATGGAACATGCCTGGAAGAGCATTAACACCCCCCCCACCAGGCTCTTCTCCAGGTGGCAGGAAGAAGGGCAGAGAGGACACATACTCTGTTTCATTAAAGCCAAGTGACCTCTTCCTCAATGGAGACAGGAAAAAGAGCCTCAGGCTTAGGTTAGAAAAGAGATAGAGTGGCTTTAGCTAAGAGTACCTACATCAATCCTCTTGCTCGCAGATCCATCCACTGGCTGACAGAGGCACATTTGGAGGCCCATTACCTTAACTTTCTCAAGTTTTTGTTTTAATCTTAAAATCTCTCTCTCTCTCTCTCTCTCTCTGTGTGTGTGTGTGTGTGTGTGTGTGTGTGTGTGTGTGTGTACGTGTATACACAATTTAAAAGAAATACTACCACAAGCACCTGTGTAATGATTCAACTTAAGAAATTAAGAAATAGAAAATCAGGCCAGGCATGGTTGCATACATCTTTAATTCAAGAACTTGGCAAGCAGAAGCAGATGGTACTCTGTTGAGTTTGAGGACAGCCTGGGCTATAGAGAGAACTTGTCTCAAAAAAGGCGGGTGGCCACTGGGAGGAAGAGGAAGAAAGAAGAATTGGAAAAGCCACAGGTCCCTGTGAAGTTGGAGTGCTAACCCACCTTCTTCCTGACAACCTTCTCGGCCACTCCCAGCAACCATCTGCCTGGACAGTTCTCTGCTTCCTGTCTGTATTATGCTTCTAGACTTTGTACTTGTCTATGAATAGATGGATACATAAATGCAATCCCATGTGTATTCTTTTCAAGATTTCTTTGCCCCGAAAACATGTGTGAGCACACTGTTGCAATGTATTGGTGACGCTGACTGAGATGTATTTTTTGCCATTTGAGTAGCAATCCACCAATCTAATTCGATCATTTTACTCCTGAAAGATGCTCCCTCAACTCATCACTACTAGGGAGAGTATCATTATAAACGCTGTGTCCCTGTGTGCTGTGCACAGACCCAGCCAGGGGTGTGCAGACCAACGGTTAATATTCTTGTGTTCAGCATCACGAGGTCATGAAGCAAACCTCTGAACAACACAAATGAGAAAGCCACTTCAGAAACTATGGTTCATTTATACCCAGTATATAGTAGTCTCACACTTCTGCCTGGCTGTTGGATATTAAAAAATTATATTTTCGTTTAAGTGTTGTGGTGCAAGACTAATCTTAGCACTCAGGAGGCCAAGGCAGGAGGATTTCCATGAGTTCCAGGCAGCCTAACTGTAACAGTAAGGCACAGACTAGCCTGAACTACAGAGTGAGGTCTTGTCTCAAAACAAGTCCACAAACAAAACCAAAGATGCTCAACTCTTCAAGACCAGTTTACTACCCTTTGAAAGACTTGTAAGTACAGTCACAACATATCAAACACATCAACATGTATCAAACACACATGCTGACCTTTCTCCTCTCTCAATCTCACCCCACCCACCCTTTTCCTCATGTCATATGTACACAGCAATGGGCCTGGGTAAACATGTCACTTATTCTTTAAATCCTATAATAATATACTCTTTATACTGACCTGAGAGAGCGCGGTTATAATAATCTCCAGAAAGGGTGAAGTGGGCGTAGCCTTCAGGGCTAGTTCTTATGTGCTGAAGAAAATTGAGACCTGCCAACAGAAGCGAATCTCACTACAGAGGCAGGAGCAAAGCTGACCTCCCCAGATGAACCGCATTTCAGACACTAGCTGCAGCTGGTACTGACAGCCTCATGAGAGAGCACACAGAACTACCATGTAAGTTTGTGCATCAGTTTTCATGTTTTATAACCACCGCATTTAAATATTATTACTGTACTGGAAAGATGGCTCAGTGAGCACTGGCTGCTGGGGGAGTTGGGTTGTATTCCCAGCAACCACATGGAAGCTCACAACTACCTTTAACAATTATCTGAATTTGTGAGTGTTTGGCACTCCCTTAAGCACTGTACCTAAGACATGGTCTCACGCCCCCTGCCCCCAGCCTTTGGAACATAAAAAGGTATTTCTCCTTGAATGCATGGGAAGAGGCCAGGGACAGCAGAACACATGCCCTGCTGAACACTAGCTTAAATTGCTTTTAGTATATTTATACACTCTTCAGGAATTCCATACAATGTATTTTAATCATATTTATCCCCAATTCTTGCTAACTCCCCCCAGATCCAATCCGACCTCTAGACCTCACCCCCACCCCAGGCAACGTTGCTCTCTCCCCTTTTAGCCCATCAACTTCAATGCGAGCTGCCCACACACTCCTGGGTGTATGACCATTCACTGCAGTATGGTTGACCTAACAGGAGTCTTAAAGAAACTGGCGATGTGTTGCATAGAGACCACCATTTTCCATAGCTCCCCAGATGGTGTGAAGGCTCCTGAAGCCCTTATTACCCCATACTAACTCAAAATCTTAAGACTGACATAGAAAACATAAGAAGTCAGACAATTATTCTCTACAGAAAAGACATTTCTGGCAGCAATCAAAACCCCAGTGGCTTTTAATTGTGCAGCCCTGAAAAGCACAGGGAAGGGACAAAGATTGACCTCAAGTCCCCAGAACCAAACTTCACCAGGGAGAGAAGGCTGGCAAGCTGGAAACCATGGAAGTGACAGATGATATTTTTTTCCATGACAGGGTTTCTTTCTGTGGCACTGGTTGTCCTGGAACTCATTCTGTAGGCCAGGCTGGCCTTGAACCGAGTAATCTGCCTGCCTCTCCCTCCCAAGTGCTGAGGTTAAAGGCATGCACCTAGGTTAAACGCGTGTACCACCACTACCACCCAGCTAGTGACAGGTGATTTTCACCTGCTCCCCTCAGAAGCTTCATCCTAGCATGTGCAAGAGGGCACTGAGGAGAAAGCACACTTGCCCAGGCCACAGCCTACCAAAAACAGATGAGTAGTATCACCTCACACATGGCCCTCTGCAGGAGAGGCCATGTGAGCTTTCTAATAGGATCCTGGTTTGGTTTGCAGGAGAGAAACAGACAGCAGCATTCTTCTCCCAGGTTGTGTTTTAGAATTCCCAGGGGAGTCAATTAACCACTCTGTTCATGTGTGGGAGAAGACAAGAATGGACAGACACAGTGACTGGGCCAGAGCTCCTGAAGTGATGGGCATTTTACCAGTGTCTATCTCTACTATTCCTGAGCTACAGGCTGAAGCCACGCATGGCAAATAAGTAAAAAAAAAAAAAAAAAAAAAAAAAAAAAAAAAAAAAAAAATTCTGGGTGATTCTTTTTCATACCCATACTTGAGTATGTCTTACTTTCCTCGAGTGTCCCTTGAGAGCAAACACCTATGCCCTCCGGTGTGGCTCACTTTCTTCTGAGTGCCTCTCTCTCTATCCTAACCCTCCTGCTTAAGCCTATACTAATTTTTTTTACTAAGCCTCAACTCTGCTTTCTTTAAAACAAAAATCTGGTGGGACATAATGGCTCACACCTTTAATCCCAGCACTGGGAGGCAGAGGCAGGTGGATCTCTTTAGTTCAAGGCCAGCCTGGCCTATAGAGGGAGTTCCAGGACAGTCAGGGATATACAGAGAAACTGTCACACACCAAAAAAAACCCTGAAAAAACATGTTAAACAATTAAGTTTTACCTTAATTACCTAATTACTACACTATGAAGCAGAGGGGAACAAGAATACATGGAAAACTTAAAGAGGCAGCCCCTAAGAACCGAGCAGCCCTGAGCTGATGGAGGTGGCCAGCCAGATACACTCACGGGAGAAAGTGAACTCAGCGAGGGGCACATCACAGTCCATGCAGTCATCAATGAAGCAGATGCAAATGCTCTCGGCCTTGACCTCCACTCCAGAGATGCGTGGGGCCGACATGGCACCTGGGTTGTCTCTACCGCTGGAGGCCAGGGACAGGGACTTCAGAGGCTCTGCATTCTTGAACAGCCAACTCGCTGCCTTCTTCAGCTGGCCTTCAAGAAAATCAGAAATCTGAGAGTGGTCCAAGAGAGCGTGGGGCAGGGGAACAACAGAAACTCTACTCTTAAGCAAAAAGAGTAAGATCCCACTTGTCAGTTCAGCTGGCCTTCAAGAAAATCAGAAATCTGAGAGTGGTCCAAGAGAGCATGGGGCAGGGGAACAACAGAAACTCTACTCTTAAGCAAACAGAGTAAGATCCCACTTGTCATACACCACTCAAGTTGACAACACCTTCCCTGCTGACTCCCAAGGCCCCCGTCATGTGCCATCTGTGGACAGAGAGGTGAAGGGGTGGGGTGGAGGGCAGGAGTGGAGCTGCCCTGAGTCTCAAGGCCACTTGGTATGCAAGTGTCATCTCAACTCCAGTTCTGCACACACAGATATTAACTGTCCTCAAATGTCTTCCTTTGTGCAGTTTGTTTTCTCAATCACAAACCCTGAGGGCAGAGAGCAAAATGAGATATGTGTGCATGCATGTGTGTGTGTGTGTGTGTGTGTGTGTGTGTGTGTGTGTCCATCCTTGCACCTGCACATATATACACCTAGAAAAGTAGAGAAACCACACTAGTGTAAAGAGGCTGTGTTTCTTTTTCCTAAGAGAAACAAAAGGTGGGTATGATGTGCCATAGTAGAAGGACACAGTGTGCAGTTTGCCATCAATAGAAAGGACAGAGGTTCCAATCAGACAGACATCTCTTTAACGTACCTTAGGCCCACATTAATGGATGAACTCAGACAAATTAACCTATCTGAGCCAGTTTCTTCATCTGAAGCATGGACAGTAATGGCCATTTCTAAAAGCTAGGAGACTCCGAAAGAAAACCCAGAGCTAGGCTAGGGACAGGGATGGAGCTCAAAGTGCTTGGGTTCCATCACCAGCACTGCATAAAAGGCAAGGTGGCTCACACTGTGATCCTAGCGCTAGAAATGCAGAGACAGGAGGGCTTCAAGATGATCCTAAGCACATAATGGGCTCAAGGCTGGCCTGAGCTACACAAAGCTCTGATGCTAAATAAATCAAAACTGGGCTCAGTGGGTAAAGGCACTCACTACTGAGCCTGACAACTGAGTTCAATCCCCAGGACCTATAGAAGGAAACAACTAACTCCACGCTGTCTTGACCCTCCACACACACACAGTGGCATGTGAATACCCACTTACATGATGAGGGAATATCCTTCTGGATGATGTTAATATATGTTTCTTTTACTGGTTGATGAATAAAACACTGATTGGCCAGTAGTCAGTCAGGTAGCATAGGTGGGGCTATGAGATGAAGAGAATTCTGGGGAGAGGATGCAGAGAGGCAAAGCCAGAGAGATACCAAGTAGCAACCAAAGGAATAACAGGGTCGGACATTTTCCGGTATGCCAAGACCACGTGGAAATAGTTCAATTAATAATAATGGCTTAATAATTAAGAGAGAGCTAGCCAATAAGAAGCCTGAGCCATTGGCCAAACAGTTTATAATTGATAGAAACCTCTGTGGATTTATTTGGGACTAAGGGAGGCAGGACCAGGCAGAACAGAAACTCTGTCAACAAACATGCATCCACACAAAGAAATAAATGTAATCGGTGTTGGTTTGTTCAGAGCTATAAGAGCTTAGCACATGGTCATGGCCATGGCTGCCAGAATCACCACTGTTAATAACACCACCAGTAACCAGGACTAACAACTACTCCCAAGTGCCAGGCACTTCCCTGATTTCACTAGCCCAGAGAGGCTTGATGACTGCGCAGGGTCCCTTAAAAGCAGTTGATGAGGGACAAAGGAAGAATCTGACCCACACAGCCAGCAACAGTCAACCCCTGATCACAGAAAATCCTTCGGATCTCAACCATGGCCAAACCAGAATGATAATCACCCCCCCACACAGTGGATACCTAAGCCCCCCGAATATATACAGTCTCTCTCTCTCTCTCTCTCTCTCTCTCTCTCTCTCTCTCTCTCAGAACTGAAGAGGAAATAAGAAAGAAGCATGCATGTTGTCAAGACAAACAGCAGATCATGGACCCCACATCCAAATTACCTTGACACACCAGAAGAGCCTTGCGACAGTCATCCATGCTGAAGCCCAGCTCCTGCAGTCTAGCCAGTTGCAACTCTAGGAAACAATTTCACACAAATTACTCCACAGTCTGGGGGTAGTAGAAGGGGGAACTAATAGCATTTCCTTTCTTGAGGGGAAATGGGCTCCTAGTGCAGACCTCTATCATGTATACCTTGGACTTCTCCATCGTTTCCTTATGTTTTATCTTTAAGAGTGGAAGACTATCGTTTAGTGTGAGCAACATTGACTCCAAATTTTCAGAGGAAAAGTCTCAGTTTTTAAAACTAAACTGGAAGGTAAGCCGTACAACTCGATTAGCAGTTGTGAGGGGAAACTGAGCTGTTAGCTGGAGCAGTTGCTGTAGAGTCATACTTATGATTTACAATCATACTCAGTGGCAAAGAATTAGATTATGAACAATTGAACTGTGCACAAGAAAACTGAAGGGGGGCTACCAGTATGGTGGACAAGTCAAGTACTAGGGAGGCTGAGGCAGGAGGACTGCCATAAGTTTGAGAACAGCATGGATGATGTATGACACATCAAATGTTGGACCAGTCAGGAGGCAGAGTAAAATATGAGAGAGAGAGAGAGAGAGAGAGAGAGAGAGAGAGAGAGAGAGAGAGAGAGAGAGAATATATATTATCAAGAAGACTGGTCAGGTTTCCAATTAGACACCTACCCAAGACAGGATCTAAGGTGTGTTTAGACCCCTCTCTGACATCCTCTCCAATTCGAGATGCCCCTGGGAGGCAAGTGCTGACGGAGTCTGCCTCCAAGGTTGCTGTGTCCGGGGCTGCAGCACTAGCTTGCTCTGGGATGGATTTTGCAATAGCAAGAAACAGCTGAACATCGTTATAGGAGAGTCTGATATCCAGGGCTTGTAATTGAATCTAATGGAATGTAAAAGGTAGCAATAGTTTTAAAGTTGCTTTTGGCTCTGTGCCCACATATCATTCAAACATAATTCCTACTTTATGTCCCAGAAGTCCAGACATCATCACAACTTCTCATTTAAAAGATGGCAAAGATCTTAAAATTAAGCAAATAATGATGAGGTAATGTCTCAGGCTCAGATAATAGTCACAAAACTGAATGAAATTTAAAAAAAAAAAAAAAAAAACCTAAATTAGGATAATTACTAGAGCAATTAGTACCTCACAAGATAAAAATATGGCTGGGGAAAGGAACACGTAATGGATAATTACTAGAGCAATTAGTACCTCACAAGATAAAAATATGGCTGGGGGAAGGAACACGTGGCAGTAATATTTTGTTAATAACTTTTGCAATGACCCATTATATATATTTTTTTAATCTCTGAAATAAATTGAACAACTGTGATGGGTAGCTTTGTCAACTTGACACAACCTGTAATTACCTGAGAGGAGCATCTCAGTGAGAGAGTGACTGTACTGAGCTGGCCTTTGGACATGTCTCAGAGGGCATGTCTTAACTGAGTAAAGACCCAGTCCACTGTGGGCAGCACCATTCCCTAGGCAGGAGGTGCTGAAGTGTGTGAGAGTGGAGAGATCAGGCTAAGTATAAACAAGAAAACAATCAAGCATGCCCTCATTTCCCTCTGCTCCTAACTGTGGATATGATGTGACTAGGTGTTTGAAGTTCCCGCCTTGACCTCTTTACAACATGGAGCCATAATCTGGAATTATAAGATGAAATATACCTTTTTCTCCCCTAAGTTGCTTTTCATTACATTACATCAAAGCAACAGAAATGAAAGTAGGATAACTACAAAATGGATCTCTTTGCCCTATATTGCCAGCATTCAGAGATACAGGTAGGAGAATCAGGAAGGAGTTCCATGCCAGCCTAAGCTACATGAGACCCTGTCAATAATAATGAAAATAATAATAATAAATAGCAACAATAACAACATTATTATTAATAAAAACAACAATGATGGAAAAACTCCTGTCTTTATTCAGACATAACCTTACATTGGTCAAGTATGAAAGTACCGTTTTTGAAATGCAATCCTCCTCAGCGGTAAGCAATTCAGCTCCACTGGCGAGGGCAGCTTAGACCTACAAGCAGGCAACACTGGACAAGATGCAAAGGGTCGTGAAAGAACCTTTCTTTATTCACTCACTCAGTTTTTTCCAGTGAGGTACCGCTGAAACTGAAAAGCAATGAAGCTTTTCTCTTTCAGGTCCCCATGACTCAGGTGGACTGATTAATAACTGCCCTCTTCTCAAGAAAACAACTGGTTTAGAGATGGCTCAGTGGTTCAGAGCATTTACTGCTCTCCAGAGGACTTGCATTCAGTTCCCAGCACCTGCACCAGACAGTCACAACTGACTAGAATTCCAGCTCTTTTTTCTGGCTACTGTGGACATCCACAGACACAGTGACAGAC